ACAGGGACCCCGCCGTATTAGTCAGAGGTCCCTTTACTACAGTTCGGAGTCGCGGACCTTCAGTAATAGTAATAAATCACACAGCAATAGTACATTCACGTTGTTGTAAAAAGCATGATAATATATTAAGCAATCCAAAGTATTCAGAATACGTTACTGTCATTGAGTAACGTAACGGAATACGTTACAGAATACATTTTGGGGCATGTATTCTGTATTCTGTAATGGAATACATTTTAAAAGTAACCTTCCCAACACTGGTGAGGAGATACATTCATCACTCATCCCTGACACCGGAGAAGTCACCTGGATGAGTGAAAAAACAATTTTCCATGGAAAATCCAGAGGAACTGAACTTTGTTGTTTCTTTGGGCTCAATTTCAGCTCTAGCAGCATCTCTCAGAAGAAAACGGTTTTCCCAATTATCAGATGAAAAGATTGTTGAACCAGGTGGTATTCTCTGGAGTTGAAATGCAGTTTATTAAATTGGAATTCAAAAATGAATTTACAAATACAGATTTTATTCTACAATTCATTCATTAAGCACAGAACTTTTTATTTCGATGCGCGTGGCTCTTGTGGTCCTCCATACAGCTTGGCATCAGTTAAACTTCAGCTGATATCACTTCAATATAAAACAGACGTTTTGGACATCAAGTCCAAGCTTCTGTTTGTTTCTGTTCTAACTTTAGTTCATTTTGGAAGATTTTTGTTTTTAAAAAAAACAGCAGAATTTACAAAAGCTGCATTTAAAGATCAATTTTTATTAATATGAAATAAAACTGTCAACAAGATGGTACAAAACTCTGAAACGTCATGTATGTACAGAACACTCATCAGCTCGCATAAAAATGGTGTTATTATGTTTAAATATGAACCTTAAAAATGCGAAACATATTTAGTAATTATGCTCAAATAATTCCAGTTCACAGGGAAAATAGTTTCTTCACTGGGAATTTTTCCAGTCAGTACAGTTCTGCTGCAGCTGTGCTAGAGTCAGTCCTCCAACAGTGAAATAATCACAAAGAAAATAAAAGACCAGCAATCTGGAAGAAAGTTTTAATACAGCATCATCTGCAGAAGAATCAGTCTCATTAACATAAACTGCAGACCTGAACAGAGCCCGGTGGCACGCCTGCTAACAAGCAGTTTCACACATTTATGATGAGCAAATAAATATCAGGACTTCAAACAAAAAGAACAATTTTAAATGACATGGTTCTTATAGACAACACTAACGGTGTGTTCACACCGAACGCGATAGAGGCGGCCAGAGCGTCAGGCTTACATGTAAAGTCAATGGAAAGGCGCG